CTTTGAAAGTATTTTCTTCAATTTTTCTTAATTTTTTCTATGAATACAGTGGTCCTTCATGTATGGTGGAGGTTGTGTTCCAGACACCCCTGCGATAAGTGAAAATCAGCGAAGTAGCTATATTATACTTATTTTAGCATTTATATATTTGTAAGGCTTCATAAATAGTCTCATAGGGCTGGTGAGATGGCTCAGTGGTCTAAAGCACCTACTTAGAACAAGCTTAGCAAAGCATCGGGGACCGCGATTCAATCCCCCAGCACCACATGCCAGCCAGCCTCGCCCCCTGGTGGGCTGAGCTGGCCGCACACACACACACACACACACACACACACAAATAAATAAAATTTAAAAAAAAAATAGTCTCATAAAGCTTTCCCATGCTTTTAGAAACATTTCTAATGTTCTTAACAATTTTCTAAACTCATAAACCTTTGTAATTCTGACAATATAGGTATACTGTATGGTACTACAAAATCCTGCAATATAGCGAAAAATCTCTGATAAATAATGTAGATTACTATTTTTTGAAAATCCACAAAACAGTGAGTCCATGAAAGCCAAACCATGAAATAGTGAGGGACTACTGTATCAGAAATACTCTGGTCTAGGCATTTTTAAAATATTGATTGGCAACTAAATAAAATTTCACTTACTGTAGAAAATAATTACAAAAACTGACATTTCAAATAATGACCAAATTTTAAAAATCCATCTCAACTTTTCGAGGGCCTGCCCATCACCTCAGTTGTTAAAGTGTCTGCTTCAGCAAAGCAATCCGACTCAGGATAATACCGCTCAATCCCCAGATCCTCATGCCTTACCAGACCTGCCCTGAAGGCATCCTGAGCCAGCCCCCCCAAAAAAAGAAACTCAAATAATGAGATTTTGCATCATGTAATATGATTTTTTTTCACTTAGTCTTTTATATCTTTAGCTGTCATTATTATTTATCACAAATACCAAACTTTTTTGTTTTGTTTTGATTTGGGCAGAACCGGGGATTGAACTCAGGCCCTTCAGCTTGCCAGGCAAGCACTTATTCTACTGAGCCATCTCCCCGGCCCCTTACACTAAACTTTTTAAATCAAAACTGAGGCTCAGGGAGATGGCTCAGTAGAATATGCATCTGCCTAGCAAGAGCAAGGGCCTGAGTTCAATCCCTGGCTCAAAAAAAAAAACTTGGGCTGTTTCTGCCAATAAATAAATAAACAAATAAATCAAAATTAAGATTAAAGTATGTTGAAGTTGCACTAAAATATTTT